CAGCTGTACGACAATGCTGCATGCCAAGTAATCCACAACGGGAAACTTGCGGAATCCTTCGAAGTGAGGACAGGAGTAAGACAAGCTGGCTGCCTACTATCTCCAATGATTTTCTTGATTGCGGTAGACTCGATAATGCGACATACAGTGGCAGGCGGCGAGGAGACAGGCGTAAAATGAACCCACACAAAAAACTTGGAGGATCTGGATTTCGCTAATGGGATAAATGTCTGATTTCCTACAAACTGGAAGACATGCAAATGAAAAGCAACAAGTTGTCAGAAGAAGCATCCAGAGAAGATAGGACTTCAGGTGAACATAGAGAAAAGAGAGGTAGGTGATGAAGATTCCTGGGCAACACCACCAACAGCAGCAACAACAACAACAAACAAGAATCAGCATAAATGGGAAGAACCTGAAAGAAACAACCTATTATACCTACCTGGGAAGCATCGTTTCAACTACAGGCTGATGGAACTGATGAGGATGTAAGAGTGAAAGGATCGGGATAGCAAGGCAAGCTTTCACTACTCTCAAGTCTGTGTGGAGGTCAACAGCACTCAGCATCAAAAATAAGATCCGGATTTACAACTCCAATGTGAAGTCAGTCAGTGCTACTATACGGATCAGAGACTTGGCCAGCGCGTCATAAATAGCATCTCAAACAAACTACAGACCTTCACCAACAGTTGTCTTCGCTCAATACTCAAGATCAGATGGCCAGCCAGAAAAGATCAGAAACAGAGATCTCTGACAATGGGCGAACAAACCAGGAACCGATTGTGAAACAAATAGGCAGGAAGAAATGGAGATGGATTGGCTGGCCATACTCTGAGGAAACCATCAAGTGACATCACTAGACAAGCCATTGCTCGAGTGGAACCTGGCCGAACGGGAAGCGGCGAGTTGCTCGTCAGTGCAAGGGTGACAAGGAGGAGGGCAGAAATGGAGCCAGGTGAATACTCTAGCAGAGAACCGAACTCAATGAAGACGCACGGCTGAAGCCCTATGTTCCTCTAGGAATTAAAGGAAACAATAATAATAACATTATTACCGACGGTTTATGTTGTTTGCATTAATAATATTGATAACGATATTTAGTAGTGTGAAATATTCCCATTAATATGAATTAAAGGTCAATCTGAAGGAAAAATATTCTTTGCAATAAATTCTCTTCTTCAGATTCTTACAATTAGAAGATATAATATTTGTTATCGTTACAATAATGGCTAGTTATGCGATGGATATATATATATATATTTTAACACTGAATAACAGATTACTAATGGACTGACAAAATAAACAGTAGTACTGTTGTGTGACAAATGTGCTAGGCTGAATTCAATTACAAAATGTTTCGGTGAAATGCGAGACAACGATGATAGTAATTAGTCATAATACATTCGTATACAGTGTGGTGTAGGAAGCCGCCCAATGTTCACACAAAAACTGAAATACGTCTTACGTAACTTGAACTCTCTTTCACGCATATACCATTTCCGATGTTCCTGTGGTTCATGTTATATAGGGCGTAAGATTAGGAAGGTTTGTCTACTACGGGTTTGAGAACATTTACGAGCTTGGTTCAAGCAAGGGGGAAATCAAATGCATAAAATGTTCGATTCTATCACACTTGGTCGATACTGGACATTGCATCGACGCCAACACAGCTCACACTCAGGGTCTTATACCAAATTGCGAAGTCGTTATCATACACAGCTCGGTCACGTCGCCAAAATATAGCTGAAGCTGTAGCAATAAGATCGACTAAACCGGTACTTTCTATCTAAAAAGATCAAGTTCAGATGCTATTTTATACCTTGACCAAACAGTGGATTAATGATTCTTCTTTTCACCAAGAATGCCTCTTTCCCTTAACACTCTTAGTTATTTTTTGCTTTACTTATTATTACAATTATTATCGTCATTATTATTCGTTCAAAAGATTCCCTCAATACTATAGAATTTTCTATTTATACTATCTTGACTTATTATTACTAATATTATCTCTTGTCTTAATATATGCCTCCACCTGTTTCATTTCACACATTAGTTATTTCGAGATGAACCTCTCTCATTGCAGTCTTACTTTCTCCTGTTTAATACCATACTACTTTGTACTATCCACTCGCTCACCTGACACCTTTTTTTATAGCCTTGAACTGACTTGTCAGTATTTCCTACCCCCGCATTCTACGAGTCTACTATCACTAATCTGCATCATCATTGTCTCGCATTTCACCGAAATATTTTGTAATTGATTTCAGCCTAGGACATTTGTCGCACAAATACGACAATTTTATTTCGTCACTCCATAACTACTAATCTGTTATTCTACATTATAAAATGTATCCACTATTGTTGTAACGATAAGAAATGTTACATTTCACGAAAAATACCCATCTATTCATAAGTAGAAACACAGTTTGTCTTTTTGTTCAGCGAAGAAATTTCTTTACAACGAATTCATTTTCAAGCCAACTGTACAGTCGTATTTATATTACAGAAAAAAGGTTATTAAGTGGCAATAAATAATTGCTCAGTCAATATACATATATATAAGTGATAAGAATAACGATAATTAAAATGTTATAAAAGGTAGAGTTGAAGTGGATAAATTACAAAATTATTAAAGATTGTTTTATTAGTGAATTGAAATCAAAACTGTTTTAAAAATGTGACATCAAGTGTTGTCTAAAAATTTTAAAATATTAGGAGTACGATTACGATAAGAATGAAGATGTGAAGTGAAGTGGAAAGAATTCAAGTGGTAAAATAAAATAAAGTAAAAACTAGAAAGAACATTACTATGACCAAGGTGAAGAAAGGGGTTTGACAAAACGGTTTTGAACACATAATTTAGGTTTCTGTTCATGTATAGCTAAAGCTTCGGCTATGCATAAGTGAAGAAAACGTAAACTTTTGGATCGATTCGATTTTGCCATGTAGATAACTTTGAAATATGAATCACGTGGGGCTAAATGACCTGACTCTAACAGGTGATCACAAATAGACGACTTCGCAGTTCTACGTTCGCCTTTCATTAACCAGACTGGATAGTGTTCAGCTACACGTTTTCGGAGATTACGCTTACAACGTCCAATACAGAGTCAGGTAATTTAGCCCCACGTGATTCATATTTCAAAGTTATCTACATGGCGAAATCGAATCGATCCAAAAGTTTACATTTTCTTCACTTATGCATAGCCGAAGCTTTAGCTATACATGAACAGAAACCTAAATTATGTGTTCAAAAACGTTTTGTCAAACCCCTTTCTTCACCTTGGTCATAGTAATGTTCTTTCTAGTTTTTACTTTATTTTATTTTACCACTTGAATTCTTTCCACTTCACTTCACATCTTCATTCTTATCGTAATCGTACTCCTAATATTTTAAAATTTTTAGACAACACTTGATGTCACATTTTTAAAACAGTTTTGATTTCAATTCACTAATAAAACAATCTTTAATAATTTTGTAATTTATCCACTTCAACTCTACCTTTTATAACATTTTAATTATCGTTATTCTTATCACTTATATAGATGTATATTGACTGAGCAATTATTATTTTTTTTATTACTTCACGTTCCCCAGTGGAACATAGGGCTTCAAGCTAGAGACTTGAAGATTCTGTAGCAGTGTTTATTTTTACAGGATGGGGTTGCTAGCCTCATGTCCAACATTTCCTCTTCACCAGCATTATTTCTAGCTTAGCGAGGTAGAGGAGTGCGTCGGCCGGGGATCGAACCCCGAACCATGTGCATGGTCAGAGAGTAATTATTTAGTGCTACTTAATAACCTCTTTTCTGTAATATAAATACGACTGTACAGCTTGAAAATGAAGTCGATGAAAAGAAATTTCTTCGCTGGACAAAAAGACAAACTGTGTTTCTACTTATGAATATTACATTTTCTAATAGCAAGAACCTGAAGCGAAGAAATTACTGAGAATAATATTCTTCTTTTTGAACAGTTTGAAAAGAAATTTGGGCATTGGGTATAGTGCAGTGTGTGATGTCAAGTCACCTAGTGGCATGGTGGCCATATTGCAAAAACTTGGCTGACTGATAGAATCCAGTTTACACCAACACAAAGGACTAGACATATTCCACCAGTTATTGACCATTATTCAATCAAAAATAAACTTCATGCAGCACATAAAGGTACACAAAAACGAAATTCAAAAGAAATATATATGATAACCGGAAATATGACGAAGAAGGAATAGTAACATGGCAAAACAGGACAGTTTAATCGATATGAGAAATCATTTAGAGTGAATGATTTAAAAACATATCACCAGTAGTCTCCAGCCATTAGTTCTTAGCTTCCCGGGCCGTCTACATGTCCCTGTCAAAGAATTCATGAACTCATAGCAGATTTTTGTTTGACTACTCCTAACAACTCTCTTCCATCCTATATGTCAGTTAACATTGCTCAGTGAGGAAAGCGACACCTTTGGATGCTCAACAAGTGTCCTACTTATCTCAGTCGATTCACTTCCTTACATAGCTTTTTGTAAAAAAAATCGTTTTCGTTCTCGGTGGAACATGTGTGGGGTTTGTCAGACTCACTCCCAACCTTCTCTCTTTACCAGCATGATTACTGGTTAAGCAAGGTGAAAGTATGTGTCGGCAGGGGTTCGAACGCCAGACTACTAAGCCACCAACACACTTCTTACATAGCACTTTACTCTTAACCATCTCAATATTACTCACCATATTTTACCCCCCCCCCGCCATGTTGTCGGAGACATCTAGCTTCTTTATATATCCCACTTTCAATGGTTGTATGTCTCACAAACATGCTGTTCAGTGCACACGTCTAAAAGTGGTATACAAATATTTATGTATGTGTGTGTGTGGGCGTGATTAGTCAGCTTGAGAATTAGCGATTGAATATCCCTTTTTATCTTTTGTTTTGTTCAATGCACATGAGAATTTTTAATCTCCACCCCCCCTCGTTTTTCCCTTTCTTTATTTCTTTATTACAATAGCCTGATGATATTTTACGAGTCAGTTGTTCTAGTGAATTCGCTGGTCGAACCATTGATTGGAGTTTATCGGGTTATTTACGCAGAATACGTCTCACTTGGAACTTCATTAATGAGACAGAAGTAATGCATAGTAATAGCACTAGTTCTATGGAAAATATAAATCTGTTGAATACGTCGTCATCATCATCCACCTCTTCAGCATCTTCGACATCTCTAACAACCAGTGATGATGTGAATTCAACACTACTTTCTCAACGAAGTCATCATCATCATCATCATGAATTCAGGCGAACTTCAGGAATTCAATTTCTTGTGCGTATCTCTTCACAAATGCTTTTCGTTGGGAATTTCTCTATGGAACGCAGTATGTTGTGAGAGTAGTTTTCCCCCACCTTACTTTTTGTTTTGTTTATATTAATCATTATTTTGGAATAAAGCACAATAAAGGCTAAAATTTTTCAATATAGAATGATATTAGTATTTCACTTAACAGGTTCTCATCATCAGCTGTGCAGACCACCACTCTGTCTGAAATTACAATGTTGAGATGATAACGCGAAAGTTGGGGTGTTTCGAAAATGCGAGATTACGTTACAACCCATCTTCTTCTTTTTCTTCTTTTTTCTTTCACGTTCCCCAGTGGAACATAGGGCTTCAAGCTAGTGCCTTGAAGTTTCTGTAGCAGTGTTTATTTTACAGGATGGGGTTGCTAGCCTCATGCCCAACCTTTCCTCTTTACCAGCATTATTTCTGGCTCAACGAGGTAAAGGAGTGCGTCAAAATCATAAGACTGAAATCACTCTGATATGAATATGATTATGCGGTCTATTCATCGAAATGATGAAACCTGGTCATTGACAGTAGAGGACATGGAAAGGCTAGCTATCTTTGATCATAGGTGCCTGCGTTCTATTTCCAGTGTGAAGTGGTTGGTATAACAGGGTGGGCAATATTGAGGTGAGGCATCGCTCGAGTGCTAGGCAAGGAGGGGAAATCAATCTATGAGTCTGTGAAGCTACATCGACTGAGATAGTTAGGAAATGTGTTACGCATGTCTTGCCATCCATCGCCTTCCTCGACAACCAACAATGTTAGCTGACATAGGGTCGGTCAGGTTGGAAAAGAGCCAGTGGTGGTCAAACCAAAGCATAGCTTCATCAGTCAATGATATCCATAACAGTTATTTTAAGCCAGACACGTAGGAAGATGTCGACTTCCTGACTGGTTGAGGTCCTCCAGACTGCAAACACCAATGAAGGATGGAGACAATTATCGGGGATATGGCTCAAACTCATCGTTCTCAATGTCTGTCGCAGATGCATACACTCCTTGTGACTTATAATGCCCAATAAAACTAAATTCTTCTTCGATATAACTATTCTTTTTGCCTCATATCTCTGTTCACTGTCTCTATTTTGCATTTCTTCTACTTTCTTCTCTTGCTTTGTGTGCTACATGCAGGGAGTGTGACGACTTGAACTGCTGCACATCGGTGCAAAGTTCTATGTTGAAACCAGTGAGTCAGTCAGTCAGTCTATTCATCATTCAAAACACCTGTTACGCAGAGACTGAAAAATTGATCACACTGTGTTTCTGTATGCTTAAGTGTTTGATTCGAGAACATTTGATTGTAGGTGGCCTCAGTGAATTGTAGTAGATTTTTGATATCGTCTACACATGTCATATTTTGGAGGATTTCAATAACTCTGAAATGAAATACTCTTCACCAATATGTGTCTTTTAATCAGGTATATATTTTTTGGAAAATATTCAGAAAACCATATAGACGCTGTCAGATATCCAGATCTCAGAGATCCTAGACCTACCACTGGTTTCGAAAGAATACACCGCACTGTAACCGTTGCAGAACAACAGAAAATGGTTGGGCGACGTGATTGTTTTTCCTTGCATCGATAACGAAACAGATTTACAATGGTTAATCACTGCCCCAAAGTCTCTAAATAAGCGTGTCTATAATGTTCAACAATACTTCTGATCATATTTCAACCAGTGGATGAATAAGCACAGTGACAGCCTTCTTGTCTCCTGCCAATATGCAGACCAGTTCGAATAAATAAACAATTCAATGTTCAAGTATTGGTTTTGTAGGGATTTTTTGTTTGATTGGATGGAGGATTTCATCATGAGCTGACAGTATTGACCGAAGGCCTTATATCTGTTCTTCCAATGCACCTTGTACCGCTCTTCCTTAGAAATTCTCTTTCAACAGAGCCTAATTCTTCTTCCACTTTCGTCGTCCTGTCTTAAAGTAGTATCCTTACAGCTGGCAGGACAAAAGTTATCATAATGAAGATATTGTCGATTTCCAAGTTTCAATTCATGAATAATCTCCTTCCAGGTCAGCGAAGAGGATCTTTTTGACAAATTCTTTCTTTCAATGTAGCTGTACAATTGCATTTGTATACCTTGTTTCTGATGAAAGAGGGTAGCGACAAAATTGATGAGTTGTTACAAAAACACAGTCGTTAATATCAGTCAGTGTTTAGAAGCAGTTGAATAAGTGTATTAGAGTTACGTAATAGGTGGTTGAATAATTTTCTTTTTTTATGCATAGCTCTGCTTTTTCTAACTGAATGGCTACAGCTTCAGCAATGCAAAGGAGACGACAGCGTACTGCCTTTGGTAGATCGCTCTTTGCTTTGTCGATTACTTTGAAGGAGGAGGCGTTTATTGAGATGGAATGATCAGTGTTGACAAGCTGTTCGATCACAAAGACTGAGTGTATCTCCAGCCATTGGTTCTTGGACTCTCAAAGACCGTATAATCAATCACCCCAGTTCACATTTCTCAACATGGCTGGTTGAAACTAACTGTTAAAGATCTATCCGGCTGATTCTATGTGTTGATTTGACTACCACGTGCTAGCTCTTTTCCAACCTGATCCATCTTATGTCAGTCAACACTGCTTGACGTCTAGGAAGGCGATGGCTGCTGAGTATACGTAGCACATATCCTAGCCATCTCAATGGATATAACTTCACAGCCTCATCGATTGACTTTCCGCCCTTACCTAAAACTCCACACCTAACCGCAATATAACTCGGAACATTATACCACCTGACATTGGAGATAGAACGCAGACACCTATGATCGAAGACAGCTAGCCAACCTTTTCATGTCTTCCACTTTCACTGGCCATTATGTCTCACTAACAGCCATAAAGGAGGATGCGGAGAAATGTTGAACTGTTGTACACATGTCCTTTGATTGATATCACGTCTACGCCAGAGATAACATAAGTTGATAAATGTCACACGAATCTTTCCTACGCGTGCTGAGATTTCGTCAGCAGTAATCATTCCTTCGGGACTGATGCAACTTCCTAAATAAACGTATCGGTCAGCACGCTCCACCACTTCACTAACTGCTATTTGTCAAAGATGTCATGCTTACGACTTTTTGTGGTTGTTCAGGTATCATCGGGGAACCGTAGAGAACTTATCGTTAGAATAATAATGAAGCGCTCATTTGCATGAAGTATTTGCGTTGATCCCAAATTTCAGATTTCATTTCATTTTTGAAGTACTCACTATACTTCGCTTTAATAATAATAATAATAATAATAGCGATCTGCTTCACTCCAAAAACAGCACTTATAATACAGAATGGAATTATCAGCATTTCTCACAATATTGCATCTAATTTACAAAAAATATAAATAAAATTAACCACAGGAATTTGTCCACCTCTGACAGAAGGAATAAAGTCAAAAATGTACCAAGTGCAAAATGAGAATAATAACATCAATAATAATAATAACACTGGGTTTGTCTCGAACAATACTGTCGATGCAGTATGGAAATTTTAGCATGTTATCGAATACTGAATCTAACATTCTCTTGATAATAACATGGTGAGAGAGAAAACAAAACAATAACAATTGTTACACAGCTTAAATGATGTTTACACTTATGAGAAAATAAACAAAACAAAAATAGTGGGAGGATTATAAACATAAGAAGAAGAATAATAATAACAGTAAAGCTTGGTGGAATAAGGATGGAGAAAATGTTTTCTTTACTAGCTAGTTCGTCCCTGACACTATTTTCATCACATAAAACAATGCGTGCCAAATATGCTATCGTGGAAGTTTTATACTTATACATGCGTGCATAAAGTCTTTTGATGAAATGACTTCTTGTTCTACCCGAGGAGGAAATGTGAGGTGAAAGCTGCGGATGCTGAGTTGGATGCTCACAGTCAGACAAAATCCATTTTAGTAAATTTATTGCGTGAAATCAAGTGCCTATCAGTGACCATGTCAACAATATGGCATAATGGGATACCACCACTCGCCCTACTGACAGTCTTCAGAGTTCTACGAAGTATGGCACAGTCTATTTTAAGCGACTCAGGAGAGAATTGGGGTGAACCGTAAAGAAGAATATGTGAGGTGCAAGAGTTGACAAACTGTAACAGGTGGAGGGGTTGAGCTATACCCGATTGGCTTAACTTCTTAATGTAAAATGTCAGATGGATTATTTTACTAGAAATCACTAAGACATAGGAAGCCCAGGATAGATGAGAGGTATGAATTAGTCCAAGATATTTAACGTTTTACTGGATTTCTATATCATCACTATCATCAATTTTACAGCGGTCATGGGAATTAACGGCTTCATCATTCAACTTTCTTTTACATCTAAAGTTAAAATTAACGGTCTGACATTTAGAAGGATTTAGTTTAAGACCGACCATTAGACAATGACCATTTTCTGACCTCTAATAGAAAGAGCTATTCATCTTAGTACAGTTTAACTGGGAGTTGACAGGCATTGAAACAGTCGGATGATCATCAGCAAAGTTAACAAAGTCCATTTCATCATCATCATCATCATCAGAGTGTGAGGCAGGTCATGCCAGAAGAAAGAAAACAGAAAAGGAGAAAGAACAGCGCCTCGAGGGTCCCCAGTTTCAGTAAGCAGTGTGCTGATTTCTTCCTGTGAAGTAGGAATGCAATCTGTTAACAATTCAACAATATGTGACATTGTAATGTATTTTTTTTTTATTTTAGAAAAATCTTTATGTGAATTTTTCTCTGGATTTTGGTGTATTCAATCCCCTTCTTCTTCTGCTGTTGCTGCTGGTGCTGTTGTCGGTCTTAACCAGACAAATTCATCAACATTAGGCAATCCAATTAGTAGTAATAGTAATAATAATAATAATCCTTCTCTTCCTGATGTTGTTGATCAAGCAATCTGTGTTCAAGCTACAATGCGTTGTGATAATCTTCCTGATTGTAATTTAAATGTTCCTATAAATCAAATGAATTTATCACAAGATGAAGCAGATTGTGAATTAATTACACTGATCAACTATCAGCTGGGTAATGCTTCTTTAAAATCATGTAAGTGTAAATGTAGTAGTCTTCAAGAGTTCATTTTTATTATCATTATTCTATCCTTTAGTTCCTACAGGAATATAGGGCTTCAGCCGTGCGTCTCCATTGCGTTCGGTTCTCTGCTAGAGTCTTCACCTGGCTCCAAGTCTGCCCACACGTTTTCATCTCCTCTTCACATGACCTCCTCCAAGTCACCCTTGCACTGACGACCAACTCGCCGCTTCCCTTTCGGCCAGGTTCCACTCGAGCAATGGCTTGTCTAGTGATGTCACTCACTTGATGGTTTCCTCAGAGTATGGCCAGCCAATCCATCTCCATTTCTTCCTGCCTATTTGTTTCACAATCGGTTCCTGGTTGGTTCGCTCATTGCCAGAGATCTCTATTGCTGATCTTTTCTGGCTGGCCATCTGATCTTGAGTATTGAGCGAAGACAACTGTTGGTGAAGGTTTGTAGTTTGTTTGAGATGCTCTTTTTGACGCGCTGGCCAAGTCTCTGATCCGTATAGTAAGTAGCACTGACTTCACATTGGAGTTGAAAATCCGGATCTTATTTTTGATGCTGAGTGCTGTTGACCACCACACAGACTTGAGAGAAATGAAAGCTTGTCTTGCTTTTCTGATTTTTGCTTTGATATCCTCGTCAGTTCCATCAGCCTGTAGTTGAAACGATGCTTCCCCGGTAGGTAAAAGAGGTTGTTTCTTTCAGGTTGCTTCCATTTATGCTGATTGTTGTCTGTTGTTGTTGTTGCCCAGGAATCTTCATCACCTACCTCTGTTTTCTCTATGTTCACCTGAAGTCCTATCTTTTCTGGATGCTTCTTCTATCGTCAACTTGTTGCTTTTTGCTTGCATATCTTGCAGTTTGTGGGAAATCAGACATATATCATCGGTGAAGTCCAGATCCTCCAAGTATTTTGTGTGAGTTCATTTTATGCCTGTTTCCTCATTGCCCACTGTTTGTTGCATTATCGAATCTACTGCAATCAGGAAAATCATTGGCGATAGTAGGCAGCCAGCTTGTCTTACTCCTGTGCTCACTTCGAAGTATTCCGTAAGTTTCCCGTTGTGGATTACTTGGCATGCAGCATTGTCGTACAGCTGTTGGATGAGATGTATAATTATCGGGTTGACTTATATAAGGGGTAGATTTGTTTTTCCAACTTGACGACGGATTGATATCATTTAGAGGACCATTGAAAACTAGCTGGAAAGTACTGGGATAGTCAGCTGTTTCATCCTATATTAGAATGGGAATCATTGGCAGTACGCATCCACCGCCAAGGTTTGAAACCAGAACGTTCTGGTCAAAAGGCAAGCTTGTATAACATTTAACCATTGGGACCCGACTCCTTCAATGGCCAGCCCATGGATTCTTACTTCTACCAATTCGTGATTTTAGCGCAACAGGTACCACCCAACGTCATCGGTGGGAACTCCATCCTCACACTTGACTGGATAGACCTCACACTGGTGACGACTTCCCACTGGAACTCCATGGGACATTGAATCGGGTCCCAGCAGTGGCTGAATGGTATACGAGCTTGCTTTGTAACCGGTAGGTCCTGCGTTCGAACCCTGATGGTGGGTGAGTACTGCCGATAATCCTCAAACTAGGATGAAACAGTTGTCCAGTACTCCTGGTTAGTTTTCGGTGGTTCTCTAACTGATAACAATCCGTAATCAACTCGTAGAGATTGAGGTTTATATAAATAAAATCTCTACCTATGTATACTTATCACTCAGCGTCCATTTATTATGGGGCTCTTCGGCCAAATCTTGATCAGCGTTCGTATAAAAACCCTCTACATGTCTCAGTTTCAATTGTGTTCAAAACAACTTTTGAATTTCCATACTACTTTTGTTATAATGAAATGGTAACAGCTTGGTGTAGCATCTGTGATGCTTGATTGAGTCCGGTAGCTCAAGTTTTCTCAGAGCACTGAGCTATTTAGTATCCTGACTGGTTCTCAACCTACCATGACTCAGATATTCGTTTCACCTTCAATCATATAACCCTTCACATTAATATACAATTGCCTTCGCTCAGCTATGGGTCTGTGGATTTTCACTGTGTGTGTGTGTGCTCACTGAACTAAACTCCTAGAATCTTACTTATTGTAATGTGTGTGTCAATGCTTTATGTATATATGTGTCACTCATTAGTCCTCCCGTTTTCACTTCCTCTCCCTGTTTCTCTCTGTCTTCCTTTGCAGATTTATCAGATAAGTATGACGCCTGGGTGTCAAAATTGCCATGGATTGGTAAGTTTTTGTTGTACATCTCGTTCGGTGGTCTATTTCATCTTTCACTGTTTCTATTCTTATTCTTATCATCAAATAACAACTCAAAAAATCTGAAGGCTGTTCGAACCGTTGGTGGTGCTAACGAGATTATTATTATTATTATTGTCTCTTTTATTTCCTAGAGGAACATAGACCCGCCAGCCGCGCGTTTCCAGTGCGTTGGGTTCTCTGCCAGCGTCTTTACCTACCTCCACATATGCCCACATGCTTTCATCTCCTCTTCACATGACTTCCTCCATGTTACCATCGCACTGACTCGCCGCTATCCATTCGAGTTCCACTCGAGCGATTGCCTTGCGTGTGATGTCACTTGATGGTTTTCTTAGAGTATAGCTAATCCACCTCCATCTCCTCTTGCATATTTGTTGCACATTTGGGTCCTGCTGAGTTGGTTCGCTCTCGGAGATCCCTGTTGCTGATCTTTTCTAGCCGGCCATCTGATCTTGAGTAGTATTGAGCGAAGACAGCTGTCGATGAAGGTTTGTAGTTTGTTCAAAGTGCCCATGGTGACGTGGCGTGGCTCCATCCGTATAGTAGTACCGAATTCACAGTGGATTAAACGAACTGTTGTGGACTTCATTGACTGATGAAGGAATGTTTTGGGTTGACCATCACTGGCTCTTTTCAACTTGATCCAATCTGTGTCAGCTAACATTTCCCGTTGTCGAGGGAAATAATGGCTAGGCATGCACAACACATGTCCTAACCATCTCTCTCATTTGGAGTAACTTCACACTCTCGTCGATTGATTTCCCCTCTAGCACTCGACGCCTAACCAACTCAGTATTGCTCACCCTATCATGCCACCTAACACGTTAGATACAACACAGGCACGTATGATAGAAGACAGCTAGCTAACCTTTTCATATCTTTCACTTTCAATGGTCACCATATCTCGCAGCCATAAAGGAGGATGTAGCGAACCGCTGATCAGTACACGTCTTTCAAACCACATTCTGTACATGGATTCATCTAGATGACTGTATATGAGACGTCCTTTTGAAACCCGTTAAAATAGCTCTAATGCTATTCTTCAATCCTCCCCCAAAGTCCTTGAGAAAAATTGTTATTGGTGCCTGTATTGGGATCCACAAAATCGTTGGAATGGTTTCCTCTGTGATAATGAGTATAACCAAAAGGATGACAACGAATCACATCCTTTCCATCCACTCATTGGCGTGTTTCATAGATGTAGTAATATAGGGTATTAAAGTAGTGGACTTTCTGTCAGGAGTTCTTTCGATGAATGCTTTCTGTAAAGTAGTGGTATTGTACAATCCAAGCACCTAAACGTTATTTGCTTCTTTGTGACCTCACTTGTATTTCCTTTTTGATATCGGTTAGAGAGCCATTGGAAAACCAACAGGGAGTACTGGACAGCCAGTTGTTCCGCCCTACTTTGAGACTTTTCAGCAGTATGCACCCACGGCAGTTCGAACCCATAAACTTCTTTTCAGAAGGCGAGCTTGTATACCATCCATCAGCCATTGGAACCCAACCCGATCTAATGACCAGTCGATGAATTCCAACTTCTGCCAATCCACGATATAGCGCAACTGGCACTAGCCAATGTTATGAGTGGCGAGTATTTGTCCTCACGCCCGCCCTGCTGTACCCTACTTACTGATCACTTGTCTTTGTGTTGATCATGAACAGATGTTAGTTGGAGAACCATGAAGTACTCGGAAGCTGTTTTGTCTTTGCTTAGTTAGGACTTTTCAGAAATACACACCCGCAACCGTATCAGAGATCAAATGATTTAAATAGTCAGCAAGCTCTTCTTCTAATCTAATCTAAAGGTTCTAGACTCGATCCCTGGTGGGGATAGGGTGATGTTTGCGTAGCGACTGTTGAAGAGTCCCAGAAACTGCGATATATCACGTGTCCAGTGCTCTTTGATGATTTTTTGTCCAACGGTTCTCTAACTGCTGTGTCAGTTAGCTCTTGACACCATTTTTTGTCCTAAATTCTAAGTCACATGTATGTCATTAAAAAACGGTTTCACTCACTGGCAGTATTTTCTGTTGACTGCCAGGAAATCAGGTATAAAAAGACATAGGGAATCATGAGATTGGCTAAATTATTATTATTATTACTATATATGTCTATGGAATATATATTAGAGAAGCGATTATTACATAACAATTACCTTATTTTTATTATAAATCATCTTACCGTCTATTAATTACCCATTGGGAAGTTATGAGACTACTGAGATAAAGGTAATTAAGTAGTAGTAATAGCAGTGTGTAATTAATTTCCTCTTCTATAGAATAATTTTGTGGAGTATTTCTAATTAATGGTGTGCTTGTGTGTGTGTGTGTGCGTGTGTGTGTGAGTCTGTATGTTTTCAGTTAATTATATTCATTTGTATAAAATGTTATATATCCAAGTATTTCTGTGCGCTTGATGATGATGAATGGATGCATGAGTGCAATTGTTTTCCCTCAGAAGATTAACAATTACTGTGATAAGGTATGTACAATAAAGAACTTAGTCTCATGAAAGTTAGTGAAACACACGATTCTGAAAACCAGCTGTTTCTTCCTTGCCTTGCTTGAGATCCTTCATCAGTTCACACACATGACCGACCCCTCATCCAGCAAGGACCAGTTTTTTAAGGACTTTCAAATGACAAGGTGAGCTTGTTGACCCTTTTATTTAGCCATTGGGATTGAATCTAATGGCCAGTTCATGAATCCTAACGCCAATCCATTTGCGATATATGTAGTGGAACCTCCAGCCAATGTCATCGGTGAGTATTTCTCCCCATGCCACCCAACTTGATGGACTCAGCCGCTGCTCATTACTTCGCATCACTAGAGCTTCAGGTAACTTCGTAGGGTAGTCATTCACTAGTTTCCGAATTTTCACTGGTTTTTTCAACGTTTGTCTTACTGAAATCATTTGTGACTTGTTTTAATTATAGGATAAGTAGTCATCCAATAATCTTAATAATAATAATAATAATTTTATATTTTCATATAAACATAAATTTACATGAAAATGCATGCCATTTTTACAGGCACGATCAAGTATGATACAATGTTAAATAGTAGATTGTCTACAAGTTAGTAATGTTTGAACAGCTAAATATTTGATATATGTATAAATACACTCTTTGTCTGACCCATGTCGTATCATTATTGAATTAAACAGCAGTCCTCCAGGTTGCGCAGGAAAATCGACTTCATTTCGTTTTCAACCCGTAGTTGTAGGCATACGATAACCAAGCAATATTGAGGTAAGTACAACGTTTACAAGGGATAGTAAGCTGTTTTAGAAAAGTGAAGGTGCAAAGGTGAATCATTAAAGTGTAATGAAATAGGTAAATGCAATGTATCATTAATAGATGCATTCATAAAGGAAATACAGTGGGAGACTATAATCCCTAGGCTGACAAAGTTCCTTTGCAATGTATAATGCTACCCTATAGGTTTTACTATCATGTTGTCCACTTTTGGTATTAATACAATTATCCACAAGCTGGTTGTTTTATTTCATAACTTTTTGTGCATTTGGTGCACAACCGTACCCTATAGAGAATAGGAATAAAATAAGTCGAATCAAATTCATAAAGAGCTATAAAATGTTAGGTTTAGTGGAATATAATGAGCAAGTGAAGACGTTATTAGAAAATGTATGAGATGAGACATTGTTAAGTGATATTCGAAGATACGACAAAGGAAAGCATGTCAATTTATAAGATGCCCCATAAATCTGTGCAGAGCCCACGTGGTCGCATCTCAACAATAGGCTGACCGAATGGTATATGTTTAAAGGTATAAGCGATCATTATTATCTTATTCAAGATAAAGATTCAAGCCCTCATAGAAATCTCGAGCCATCAAATTGCATATTGCTGTTCCTGCAGAATGGGGCGATTCACCTTAGTGTCCACCACCATATCTACTGATCAGCATGCGCCACCCTCCCTCCTTTTATGATGTTAGGCTCTGATTGTTATGGCTACAGCAAATATATTCTTGAGCAGCATATCCTAATGAGCGAATTAGGATGTGCAAGCTGTTATTATTTTTCCCTTGGGTTCCCTTTAGGGAACATAGGGCTTCAACAGCACATCTCCACTTTATCGTATTTTCTGCGGTCATCTCTGACTCGCCCCATCCACTGCTGACGAGTCCCAAATGGGACGAAACGTGCATCCTAATGGATTCCACTGCTAGTTACCATCCACCAGTTGGCTGTTAGTGATTACATTCGACTAAAATTCGTAGTCATAAATAAAAAATGAACTTGAATAAATATTTATGTATATGTGGTTTACAATAGTGTGTATGTGTATGGGGAAAGAACTGTAAATCATTTGTTAACCTCTCTGTAAGAAGATAAAGACAATCGGGAAATTAGATCAAGTATGATTGCTTATTGATACATATCCATTTTTATTAATCAATTAATCATGACTTGCCATGCCATGCATGCATCAGCTAACATCACACTGTCACGCTTGTTCAAACTTTTTGGATTCACCTTTATATAAAAGTATAAGTCTTCGGGGCAGTCAGTCTTTGTTTATATGAACCAAAACATTTCTATAAAACCATAGCCCGATCGAAGTAGATCTTCTGTCCCGTTACCTCTGGTGTGTAGTGCAATCTCTGATCTGTTTTCTAGCTTCTTCAAATCTACAGACGTCATTGGAATTACCTTTAAGCATTGTTTACGTTGCTGTCTGGAAGATTCTCCCCTCGATATACAACATCACAGTCTCCACAGTTCATCTGATACACGTAATTTTGTTGAGTAAAAAAGTTCGGACTAGTTTACCGAACGAAACCTTGGAATTACGTATTTTCATTTCTCTGAGATTTATGCAAGTTTAATATTTTACATATGTCTAATTTTCACTTAGCGTCCTTATTATTTTTGGAACTATTCAATCAAATCTTGATCACAGTTCACATGAATTGAATATAAATATTTAAAAAATATTC